GAGATGGATATTGGTTGCTTAATTAGATAAAGCTCGTACCTTAATTTTAATGAACTTTCAGGAAATCCAAGTGGCATTAAAGACCATAGCAATTTGCATCAACAAGTACCTAATGGGTCTAATAGATAATACTGCCTTTAGCAAGATTGTCTTCAGTCAGAGCTACTTAGCATTCCCCTTCTTTCTATAGAAACACATTCCAAACATTTCTGGCCAGATTGTTTTAAATACTTTTTCAAAATCAGAACACTTACACTGCAGAATGGGCAGGATTAGTCAATGCTGATAAGCCTAATTGAGGGCAGTTAGAGATTTGAATGCGAATGTACAGAAGGCTACATTTTAATGATCCTTTTGTAATGGTCAATGGAGAGTTTCCATTACTCCTTGGCAAAAGGAAACAAATCAAAGGCTCTCTGCTTATTAATGAGCTGTGTATAAGCCACTGTCTCATGGAGCAGAAGCAGAGGAAAATGCAGACCTCTGGCATCTTTTGAAACAACATAAAAAAGTATTTCGAAGCTGTTAAACATTTCCAAGCACGATCAGGAAAGATATATGAGTTGGTGGATTTATTGCAAAGGCACACCTTTCTTAGACTTCAGCTTTTGCTGTTGGAGAGGAAGAAAAATGTGTTTTGTTTCTACTGGTTAAACTGAAGCCAGAACAATTCTTCTGTCTCCTGAACTAGCAAACACTTCTTGCAAGATCCTTTAACTCTTTGCTTGGCTAAATGTCTACCAGCAAACAGACAGCAGCAAGGGGAAACATTATCATGTGTCCTCTTTCCAGCTGCAGTGAACAAAGAAGGACATCACCAATTTGGCAAAGCTTTTTCAGTGTTCTTACAGCACCACAGTCACACATAACCAGCTGGTGAAGCAGGGGTGGGATTTCACAGGAGTTGCCACTCTATCTTCTCAGCAAGGGAAGAGTCCCAGGCCCTGAATTTCTGCACAGTCTCTGGCATCTTGGGGTCTGGCACCTTGACTGCAAAGAGTCAGTGGGAGAAGGCACAACTGGAAGAGCGATGAAGCTGAGATAGAGTGGCAGAAGAAGAGATTACAGAAGAAAAATAGGTGGCACAGAAGAGAATTTACTAGACCTTTGACATAAGTCTTTGGGAAGCTTTGATTTACTTCAAACCATCCCCTGCAGGCCAAAATGCTGCTGGTGTTTGTCTTTTTACTGTCCCCCATCACTACTCCTCAAGGACATCGTGGGAGGGTGCTGTGTTGCTGTCTTTCCCAACAGATAGCTAGAGTATTTTTTTCACTTAGAAATATTCACTAGCTCAACTTTCTTCTTCTGAATTGACTTTGTTGCAGTGTCTTTAAATGGTGACCACAGATAGCTATGCATCATTTCAGCAACTAATTGCTTATTAAATTCCTAGTTTGCAGTGGAAATATATGGAAGATTTGTGAGATTAGCTGACTGCTTACTGTTAGAAAATTGAGAGCAGTGATTTCAAATTAGCATCCACTGAGCCAACTCTTGCATACCCAGCTATGCACCAAGTAACAGGTTTTAAAGGTCCATGAAGCATTTAACCATTATGTTGAATCAGTACACAGAATGTGCACACAAGCTTCCATCTGCTCAAAGATGATCATAAATATGCTTTATCTGGAAGTGAAAGTATAAAGAATGACAGTGCCTTTCATTCATCATGATGCAGGAGAAAATCCATGCATTTATTAGCACAAAAGAGCATTATTCTGTCATTAGGTATAAAAAATATGAACAAGGAAGTAAAGATTTTATCCACAAATGGTTAACACTGAATAATTAATGTAACTGTTGAGCTTTGAGCAAGCAGTAATCTCCTGGGCTGAAGGACTAGGTCTGGATGTAGGAAATAAATCTGCACAGAACTTCCCAAAGAAATATTCATAACACAAGTCATAGTCTTGCCCTGGATGGTCAGGCACTGCTGGCACACCTGCATACAGCAGCACTGCTCATGAGAACATGCAGGGGTTCCACATCTCACAGTGCATCATTACCTTGCCAGTGCTTTGAGACTTCCTCTCTATGGCCTTTCTGATAAACTATGATAAATAAGTAAAGTTTTGCCTGTGAATGAATCAGTGATGTATTTCAGTGCCTACATCAGTTCTCATTAGACACACTTCTTGTTGGTACTTGTTTATTAGATTTCCACCAGAATAAAAGACTTTCTCATTCTTTTTATTATCCTCTGTATCATTTACTGTCTAGTTGCCCTCAGTGGTTACTTCCTATATGTTCTCATGCATGGTCCAAACATTACCTCACAGAGCTAGATATTTAGAGGCAGTTCAGGATTTAAATTGTATAGGTAATGTAGCACTTTTAATTTCATATTTTTCTGAATTTAGATTAAGCTAAATAATGGGATGTCATCTGTTTCAAGTTCAAATTAGAGTAACTTATTCCACCAACGAGTGAACTTTGTCTTCATAATCTACCTCAGCAAGCAAGCATGATGTAACATAGTAAGTAGTAACTGAGAGCACTTTCACTAATGAATGTGCCATCAGGAATGCAGCTCCATCTATGACAGCTGGACCACTGAATTTTGATTTTGATTTTTATTAATTGGTAGGACCCTCACAGTAACCTCTGTTAATCAGTGGCTGAGCAGCTCATGGCATGCTGTCAAGAGAACGTGCACAAATGATGTCTGAGCTCCCATCCAAAGTCATAAATGCAAAAGTGTGCTGTAGCTCAGTAATTGTTGAATTCATTTTCAGCTCACACTGCGATTTTGTGGCATTCCAGAACGCATTTCTGTTCCATGTAGTGATGTTTCCTCCTTCTAGATAGTGCACTTCATAAATGAAATTGTATTGCAAACAATTTGGACTATCTGGAAAATCTGGAAAATTGCAATTTGAGCAATACATGCAAAACAAAGCATGTTCCTTCTAATCCAATATTCGTTTTGCAGAAGCGCAGTCCCCCTTTTCCTTTATCACTCTTTAACAGTCTGGCAAGAATGATAATCTGAGAGCTTCTACCTTGAGCCACTTTAATTGAAGATGCTCTGAAGGGATGAACTGTGCTGACACATGCTCTGTATCGAGGTCCTCTCTGGTCACTGGCAATTAAAATCCCATCGGAAATGTTCCGTAACACCCTGCATTCAAGCATGCTAAACCACGTCACAGATATTAAATTGAGTCATTAGTGAGGACGTTTCTGAGATCTGTAAATATGATATTCAGGTTCTTGTTTGGGAAACTGAGGCACAGAGAAGTGAAATCCCTTTGGAGCACAAAAGGCAATGAACTGTTCCTCACATATCCCATCATTTTACTTATTCTTCCTGGTCTGTGTGTGTTTTTTTTTTTCTCTTCTTTAAAAGGACTGCATTGGAGAGGTTTGAATGTCATCAAGAAGAAAGTTTACATTTAAGCGCTGTTAAACATCTGACAAATCCACAAAGCCAAGGAAATTCAGACTTAAGGCTCAAAATCCAGACTGACGCTTCAGCCTTACTGATACTGCCACAAAACTCCCTGCTTTTGTGCATTAAAGTCAGACCTCTTACTTCACTAAATGCTGTTTCTTTGTAGTTAAATTATAGTAACAAGTGCTCCAGTTTCACTAAAACCCACTACCTACAAGATTTGGATTACTTAAATGTAACCTAAATCCTTTCTGTTGGTGGTGTGTGTGTTTGAAGATAAGTAACAGGGTGAGTAGGCTAATAATGGATTGGAATCTCCTATGGATAGTTCAGCACGTCTAATTTTTTTTGAGACTGCTTTTCTAGTTAAATTTAGATGAAAGAGGAAGACACGTTTATGTCTTGTCTGATGGCTATTTTTTTCTTCTAAGGTATTATGAGGATTCTGTTATATAGACTCGTACATACAGAGAAGTGAAAAGTGGTAAGCAATTTCTAACACAATTTTAACTTTGATTATACTATGGATGAATTGGCTCACAATAATTGAAGACATAACATTGTAAGAATCAGCATAAATTTCATCCTCTGATTCATCTTGTTGCAAGTAAGGGACCCAAAAATGAAATTATTATTCGTTTACTAAGATTTTAGTCATGTTTTGACCACATAGGTCCTATACATATCAATCTTCAAGCAGAAGATCAGCCTCAGCCTCTTCCAGCAGTGGAATGTTATCCACTTACTCTTTCCCCTCTGTTCACACTCAGCCAACTCTATCAAGAAGGCACCTAAATTATCATAGAATCCATTATGATAGAATCACAAGGTTGGGAATGACCTATAAGATCATCTAGTCCAACCGTCTCCTCATCACCATTGCAACCAGAAGCACGAAACCACATCACGCAGCACGTCATCCAGATGCCTCACATTAGACACAACATCAGTAGACTTTTCATACATTCACAGTTTTCTCACAAATTAGACATTTTCAGCCATCCTTATGGGTGGAGATTCATAAGCAGGTCCTGATTTGCTCCTTCTGGATTGATTACAATACTTAACTTTTCCTCTTTCAAATCCTCTATTTGATTTCCAGAGTTGGGGGGGGGACAGAGAGAGGGAAGAAAAAAGAAGAAACATTCTTTGCTATGTCTTGCTGAAACACTTAAATAGGATGAAGGTTTGAGATGGAAGAGATGCATATGAATTGACAACAGTTCACCCACTGTACCACTTTCTGGCTACTGTATTGTTTTGAACTATGTCTTTGGCACAGCTCTCACCAGGGTTTGTGAATATTCATCATCAACATTTTGTAGGGAAAAGTACCAGTGGGATATGAAGCTTGACAACACAGATGAAAGTACTTGAATAACTTCGTGAAGCCTAATAAAAGCCTTACAATACAGCAGATGAATTAGGGTAAATGCTTTTTGTGGGTCCTAGCCCGCCCTCACAAAATATGAATTAGAAAGGCTTCATAGGGAGGATTTGTCACAGTCAATATGGATCTTAACAAAGAGAAAATTTTGCTTTATGTAAGACTGTAATTCTGGAAACCAGCCCCCAGATCTTGGTTACAGCAGTAAACACAAACTTACTCCTCTGCATTTGCTGATCCTATGGTAGATATCCAATTTGTTTGTGAGTCCAATAATTTATAGTAGAGGTGGCTCCAGCTGTCAGCCAGCAATTTACCTAAAATGAGAATAACATAACCTGAGTGCCTGCACATATGCATAAAGAAATCCCAGACTTATATATACTGCCCTTCAGCTGCTATTCATTCTTTCCTCACTGATATTTCTTTTTAAGTCTAGCACCTTTCTTTCTATGCTCGAGGCATTTGCCCACAAAGTAATTTTAATATTCAAGCTACAAAGGTGTTTGCTGTCTTTGATTCAGTTGACATTTACTTGCAAGAAACTGAACTGAAGAGGCTGGTAATTTCTATAAGAGGTGTTGGCATTAATTTTCTTGCTGCTATGCCTTGTTGCTCCAGTAGATGTTTGTAGATGCCAACATTGCTTAATTTTTTCCTCTTTTCCTTATGTTTGACAGGTTACTTATTGCTTATTGACTGTGGGAGTTTTATTGTGCAATTTTGCTTCCTCAGCTTTGGTATTCAGCAAAAAAAAAAAGATTTTATTTGTCTCATGATAGAATGTTTATCTGACACTAAGTCCTCTTGTTACAAGTAAAACTTTCAAAGAAATTATTATAACCTTCTCTACTTAACTGTTAGCAAACTGCATACTCTTTCATTTCTGATTATGTGGAATGGAGAAAATGTGATAATTTGCTGAGTGCACACAACCGTAAATAAAGTTCAGTCCCACTCCCATTTCTTATTCTTGTAGTCAGATGAGAGAAATTAAATATATTTCATTAAAAAAATCTGTACTCATGAGTTCTAGGATTAATGAGAGGTATTTTAAATTTATGTTACATGTGTAATGTGTTGAGCATGTTGTCGCAAATATCTTTTCTAAGGTCCATAGTCTGCCAGCTGGATAGGAAATCAAATTATAATAATCTGATACCAATCATAAAATAGCCTGGTTTGAAAAAGACCTCAAAGATCATAGAGTTTAAATTCCTCTGCAATAGGCAGGGTCACCAACCAGCAGACCTGGCTGCCCAGAGCCACATCCAGCCTGGCCTTGAATGCCTCCAGGGATGGCGCATCCACAGCCTCCTTGGGCAACCTGTTCCAGTGCCTCACCACCCTCTGTGTGGAAAAACTTCCCCCCAATATCTAACCTAAATTTCTTGTCTCAGTTTAAAACTATTCCCCCTTAACCATGACTTTTACATGACTGTAAAGAAAAACTTTCATAAGTACATTAAGATCTAGCTGAAGGTTTGGATCAGTAATGTTCTTTGCATAATAACACTCATTACTAATACCCTGTTGCACAACTCCTATGAATAACCCACAATTCCATTCAGATTTCTGGAATCTGAAGAAGTTCCAGATTATGAACAGAGCTGCCCAATCTGACTTTTGAGAAACTTACTGTGTAGGAGACGGACCACAGTCTCTCCAAACAGAGTGACGTGATATGGAACAACCAGGAAAGGTATGATGGCTTCCCAGCATCTCTCTTCCTTAAGCTCCCATGTTGCATCTATTGCTTCCTGGCAGCAACTAGCACAGAATATATTACTGTGGAATCATGTACAGAAGAAAAAAAAAATTGAGAAATATCATTTCAACCAAAATACCGCTGTTTTCCTGCCACGAATGTGCAGGTTTATATCCACAGCCCTGTTAATCTCAATAGCTGAACGGTTGTACTGATCTGAAGTCTTCTCGTACAAAAATCACAGTGTATTTTGGAAATTATTCTTTTCACCTAACCACCTTTGCAAGAGTACATTTGGTGTTTTGCTGCAAGAAGAGCTCAAGAAGCTCAAACCTGGCTAACGTCCTGTTTCACCTCACTTTGAGAAGAGTGGAGCTTGCCCAGCTTTGGAAATGCCAAAGAAATTTATGCAAGGACTGTGAAACACAGCTAAATCTAGGATGTCATAATACCATGCCTTCAAAATCCTAAAACTGAGTGCATGTGGATAGAGAATATTGTCAGTATCTGTGAATAGAGACAATTTTGCTTTTAATGCCTGGCAGTAGCAAACAATAATAGAAAAAAGGATAACATTAAATCATCTGAAAACACTCCCAGATGCATGCTTTTGGCAGGTGATTGCATTTTCTAGCTACATGATAAAGAAAATCGACAAAACAAATATAGAAAGTGTGAAACAAATCTGTTTCTCAGCTATTCATAAGAAAGTCAGCAGAATCGTGTTCAGAGGAACCTTTCCACATCATGTCAACATGTCAAAGGCTATATTTTTTTCTCGAATTAAAAAAAAACTATTGGAATGTGATGAAATTGTGGGAGTTCTATGATCTATTCACTTCTTTCCAAGATTCATATTAGGAGGATGCCTTATTTTGAGAAACGGAAGGAAACTGAAGAATTAGCTGCTGACATAGTAGGCTTGGCTCCATAGTGACTTTGACAAGGCAGAAAAATAGTTCTGTAATTGCAGAATGTGAACTGGGTATAGAGTTCTCTATTGCCTTCATGAGCTAAATAATTTTTTTTTTGCCCAATTAACTTAATCCAAGCCACTAACATGCAAGCATCCCATCACCTGGCTACACGTCAGCAGCCCACTGCAAATAATATCCTCCATTTACTTTGCCATTAGGGCACTGAGTGCTTAGTACTAAAGAGCAAGTCCAAGCTGTGCAGGTACTTCCACGCTGATGGCTTTCCTTTGCAGTCAGTGATTTAACCAAACATTCCTGACTGCTACAGATTTCCACTGCCATTCCATTTCCATCTCCAGTGTTTGTTTTTGGAGTCTATAACATTTGTTTGAGAGCAGCTGGAAATTGAAATCCTTCTAGATTGTCACATAGGTTTTTTATTTCATACTAATATACATTGTCCTTGAAGTTTTATGTAACCAGTTTGAAATGCATAAGAAAGGAATTTATGTGGCAATGGGCAGTGTTTTTGTGATGGGCTTGGGGTTTACTTCTCTGCTGATAAAAACGGAATCAACTAGAAACTAAATTAGTTGGTAGGCATTAACAACAGAAGAAACTGTTCAGGCTCATTGAAGTAGACCTAATTTTAGTCACAGGTAAAGGATTTTTTTAAGAAGTTGTTAATTTGCATTGTTTTTCAGTTATTCTTTCCTAAAACATTAATTCTTCTTAATCACGAGCCAGGAAACTTTGACAGCCTATTTGCCTTAGACTATTGCTCTTGGAGAAGAAAGCCCATGCTATCTTCTCATTTACTCTCAGATAATGTGTCTAATCCCTGGAGAACTTCTAATTCAACCTCAAGAACAGCATAATTTCACGTGTCTCTGGAGAAAATGGTGTTACAGAACACCAGCCGTGGAAAGGTAGATATTTGGGCACTTCACACCTGTGTAATTAGCACTCTGCTGAGTTCCTTACAAATTATGAAAATCAGTGATCTTATATGGCACAAGATACTGTATTGGTGGTTTCCTACATAGGCACAGAAACTATTTTTCCCAAAAATTCAATTTCTCAAATTCAAGATTGTAAGTAGATTAATTATTTGGCTGCATCATTTCTTCAAGCCTCCAATCCAACACATTAATGAAACTGAGACCATCTTAAAACGGACAGCAGTACAGCTGCAAACTGGGGATGTCAGTTCAGATTTTTTTCAAGCTTTTAAGCATCTCCACTAATAGCTAAAATATGTCTGAAACAGCCTGACCTTTAAATTCTATTTGAAAAAGGCTTCTTTTCTTTTGGGAAACTGCCTCCACTGCATCATTTCCAAGCCTCTGGGCAACTTCAATATCAAATACAGATTAGTTACTACTATTTCTAAGATAATTTCATGAGTGAATGATGAGGGAAAATTAGCCTTAACGTCTAAAGAGAATGGTAATATATATATATATATAAATTCTTCCTGCAATATCTATTTTATAATCCAAATATAAGTTTTTTGATACAGACATTCACCTTTGCATGATTTCTGCTATGGAAACTGAAGCAGTTCAATAGGGAGGTCTGGAGAGATCCAAGACATAAGTAATTGGGTTATGAACTCCCAGAAAGATTATTACTTTCTTTTCTATGATTTGTATTTCAGCTATAGTGTCATGAAAATATATTTGTCTACTCTGGACAAGAATTTTGATTAAAATAGACAGAATGTTCATGGATGTTCTTCGTCTATATATTTCTCTTAAGACCAACAGAAATTAAATATCAAATTTTAGTACATATGAATTTTTTACAGTACGTTACATTTGATTCAAACTAATACAATTATATAACAATTCAGAGAATTATTCTGATAATGCATTGACAAATGTATCATCATTACTACTTAAACATGCAGCAGTGAAAACTTGAGCTGCCATCAGAGTTAATGAGATTTCAATAACTGGACCCGATGATGGTGAAAGCAACTGGGACTCTTAACTGAGGGACAATCAGCCTAGAGGCTTGCTGTGTAAACTATTATCTTATATACTTGAGCATGGACAAGCTATCAAGATCAAGTACCTTTTCTTTTTGGTTTCATCTTTAAAATTTGTAGTTTGAAGCATCATACTAACATAAGCTTATAACCTCAACTTACCATCTGATGATCTGAAATACTAACAACAAAGATCACTGGAACCAGGAAGAAAACTGGAATAACACCTAAATTGGAGAGAGCCATTAAAAAGCTTGTCTCAATAAAAGAAAATGGTCATAAATAGAATAATGAATAAACAAGTGAATAAATAGAAGCATTAAAAAGCAAAGCACTTTGCCTGAAAATGTCTTTTAAAACAAATCGAAACCAGGACAAAAGAATCAGCATCACTTTATAGATAGAGATCTGAAAAGATTGTAAGGAACATCAAGTGATGTTCCCACACAACGAGGATGCTCTGTTCTTAGGCAGTGTGTCAACACTTAAAATTTAACATTTGTTAAATTGTTCAAATACACAAGTCCATTAGATCTTGTCTGAGTTAACTCCAAATACGTATTTGCCATTACCTGAACAACTGTATTGGGTTTTATCACTGAAGGTAACATAATCATCCTTTTCATTCATTTTAGACCAGTTTTGAATAGTCTTGCTTATTGGTATTTAGGTGTTCTTGTGCATTTAGTTTGCCACTGCTCTCTCTTCCATCAAAAACAAAAACAAAAAAACCAAAAACACAAATAAATTATAAAAAAATATGATCAGAAATTCTCTTCATCACATACTCTTCCAATACATGTTCTTCCCTGTGGCAATTTTCAGCCTCTACATAGCAATGTTTCGAGCAATGTTTGGAACTCTGTTCCAAGTGTTTATCTACTAATTTTTAATAAATGTAGTACCCGTTTAATAAAGCAATAACCAGTGACAATCTTTGGTTGATCTAAAAGACAGACCTCTGTAAACCTCGTTAGCTTTTCTCCTAGGAAATCTAGGAGCTGGCATCCACATTAGGAGCAGCTGTTCTCACAAGTCTTACAGATGGCTGCAGAAAAGGAAATCAAAATCCCGCTGCACTCAGACCTTTAATGAAAACTGTAGAAAATCCTGAGCCAGTTGAAATAATCTCCAGGACCAACTTGACTTTTGTGTGGATCCTGCATGCTATGGCTGAGGGCATCACCAGAAGGACCACAGCGGTGGGAGGTCTTCTGACCATTCTTCCTCTTACCTCTATACCTGCATGTAACAGCAGCATCTATATAAATGTTTCTTATCTCTTCATCGATACATAAATTTATATTTACAACACTTGCAAAATAGATTATAGTATAAACACACATATACATGTAAATATAGTACATATATAGAGAGAGAATGGTTGTAACTACTCTGAGAACACACACTGAGATTAAACGTCTAAATAAAGGACACCTAACAAGAAAAGTTGGTTTAGAAAAGTAAAATTCACCAGTGAAACAGTTTAACAGTATAGTAGCAGGTTGGGTAGAGGGGCACAAGCTTGAAATACTGCTAGAAGTTAAACGATGCTAAAGGAAGTGTGGCAGGTGGAAGTTTTGCAGTGCAGTTTTCAGTGCTGCAGAACAAGAGATGCTGGCCTACTGATATCATCAAGGTCCCAAAGTGTAACTACCAGTAACTACAAATGGTAACTACCAAGAGAGCTTGATTTACAGGGCCCCTGTGATGTATTTAAATGTCAAAAATACATAATTTATGAGTTCATCTGTTTAGAGATCTATTCCTTTCTATATTATGTATACTAAAACGACTATATTCCATGTAATTCTGCTCAATTTCCAGCAGATTACTCATTTGAAAAGAGCTGAGAAATGAAGTGTCTGCTGTTCATTTTGCACACAGATGTCTACAATGTGCTTTTGCACATCTTAACATGAAAATTTGGATTTGTCATCAATGATTGATCATCTCACTGCTGCTCTCCAAATGTGCCTCTATTACTTATGCCTCTGGCTATTTTTTTTATTTTATTTTATTTTTATTTATTTATTTATTTTTTATGATGGCCTTGAAACTTGTGAACCTTTATCAGTCAGTTGAGATAATCCACTTTATGACTTTCTCCTCCAAGCAGGCAAAAGAATGAGAGCTCTTCCTTGGTCTTCCCAGCTGTCTGCCTGCAATGGTGATGAGAAGAAAAAAACAATCCCACCCTGTCATATGGGGCTCTTCATGCCCTCAGGGACCCTGTAAGAGGAAAAAAACATTTCTCCCTTTATCCATGACACTTGGCACTGATGGACTCAGCCATGAATCACATCACGGTAGCAAGTGGTGAGTTTCCCAGCCTATGCATAAAACACCAATGTTACATTATTTCTTGGTAGGAATATAGTGCTGTGTTTTTATTACTGATTGTTTGTAATGGTCAAGAAGAAACAGTCCGTTTGCCCATCTTACACAGTTTTTGAGCTACTTATTACCCTGTCCAAATTCTTGAATCTTCATTATGCTCCAGGTGGGAAAATGCATATTCAAGCAATAGTGTTTGGACTTTTTAAAAAGTAATTTTGGTGATTTTGGTGCCAAATCTAAGAAAAAGATCCTATATTTAATTTTGGAAGTATCTGACTGAACTGGCACAATGTATTAATTTTTTTAGGCACCTATAGCATATGGTTACCTAAAATGACCATCGCAAGTCCAAGTCCCCAGCAGAGAACACGATCATTGGTTTATGCTCTGAAAATAGATTAAAATATACAAACACAACAGAATTTTAAAGGGTTGTTCAATGCAATATTGGACTCAGAGGCAAAGTGACTGCCAAAGCAGTCAGCTCAGGGTCTTTTTATTTTCAGAGAATCTATATGCATGTAATACTAGTAGTTGATTCTATCTCTAACATCCAGTCCCTTGGAAATACAGAATACTCTCATTACCAGCGTAGTGCACTTGAGTATTTCTAAATGTTTTGCAAGCCAAACAATGCATTACCTAGATTCCCATTACGAGAAGCCAACAGCAAGGAATTTTCTTGCAATCTGATCAGGGGTGTTACAATTAGCCAAAGCAAACCCAGATGGCGGTGCATCAATGCAGCTCTTGGCACTGCCCTGACAGGTCCCAAGTTTTCTTGCAGTGTCTGGGCACAAGATCTCAGTACAGCTGAAGGATTAATCATTGCCTATGGTCAAGCAAGGCTACAGCCATCACCCTGCTACTTCTTAATTTATAAATATGGGCAAGAAATAAAATACAGCCTTTTTTTTTGTCATTACCAGGTTCCTTCTCCCAGATGTTAAATAATACAGTTAACAACTTCAAATATCCATTAGAAACTATCTAGACATCTCCCAAATGTCAGGATGCTGATGACACAAGTGATATTTCGTAGGTATTCAGCACTTCAAATGTTTGAAAATATTTTCTTCCTTACCTTGGGACCTATGCCACCCATTAAAATTTAGATCTCCAAAACCAAATAGACACAAGCTTAACGTGGATATGAGCTAAATTACTTGAGATGATAAAAGAAATCCTGTTGAAAAGCAGATAATTAAACTTAAATCCCACAAGGATAGATTACTACCCCAAACATTAGAAAGTCCTTCCTCTTAAAAAATCATAAAATAATAAACTAGACTCACAAAACTACCCCACTTCTGCGGGATGAAAATACACAGCTGTATTTAACTGAGTCCTTACAAGATTATTAAGCTGCCTAACAATTATTAGTTTGTGGGTGATGTTTGTGTTTTAGTAGCTTGCATAATCTTAATAAATGTATTCAAGAATACTGAACCTATGAGCCAAAGCACTGTCCTCAATTATAAAGAGCATGTTACTGCCATCTGGGTGCAGGAGATATACTGCAAGATACACCAGCAGATTTTTATAGGAAACTTTGCACATGAAGATATTGTAATTCCCATGTGCACACACTGCAGACATCTCATCCACTTGTTCTTCACAGGGTTAAATTGGCAATAAGCTTGGCAATAAACACAGTATCTCTCATCTTCAGGAATTAGAATAGAAACAAGGAGATTAAGCAATGTAGAGTGCTTGTATCAAGGTTTGCATTATTCAATCAGTCTGGCAATTGGAAAGGTGCAGTGTAGGGTTTAACGCTAATAGGTCTGAGTGGAAGAGGAAAACAATCTCATTACGTTAAGGTCCCGTCATATTCTGCCCACTTACCTTATTCTTCTCTTGGAAATGAGAGGAGAATTCACTGTATTTTGAAAAGCAAACGCTCTTCACAGTGTAAAGCTATCCCTTCCCCACAAAAATGAGCCATGTTTCTCTGTACAATGCAATTTCACATTTCATTTGTCTTACAGTAAAAATTTCAACTATGTGTACATATTTGCATGCATTTAAATGTGCTAAAATTATACAAAAATCACTTTAATGGATATTCATTAAAAACAACACCACCATCAACAACAAAGAAAACCACAACAATATTAAGGATACAAAAGGGAAGCTTTTCTAATACAAAGGTTGTAATGTTGTAATGACTCAGGCAGAATAAGCCAACTAGTCAAGTGGTCAATAGATGCCAACAAAAAAAGAGTTAAATAGCCTTCCCATTAAACTTTCAGATAATAATCTCCCAGCTTCCAGCAGAGCTTGTGGTTCAGATTTCCTGAACAAGCTGCACCTAACACCAATGGGCAGATTTCACTGGTTATAAGACAAAAACAATTTTATTTTTGTTTACAAGGCTTTTAATCCATGTGGGTTATTTCATAGACTCATAAGCATTGGAAAAGATCTCCTAGATAACCAAGTCCAATCGTCCAACTACCACCAACATTGCCCACCAAACCGTGTTCCTAAGTACAACACCTGCACATTTAATAAACACCTCCAGGGGCAATGACTCCACCACCTCCCTAGGCAGCCTACCCCGATGTCTGATCACTTTTTCTGAGAAGAAGATACTTCTCTGTTCAATTCTTTTTTTGACTTTCTTTTTTTTTTTTTTTTTTTTTTTAAAGGTCTGCAAAACAATAATCAGGATAGAATTTAGGCTAAGCACCATCTCAAAGTACGAAGCAATAACTCAGGTGAAGCAGGAAAGCATTCAGCTGGGGAGCATGCTGAAACCATCTGACATATCGCTGCTGTCTCCCAATCTCCCTGATTCTGCAGGAAAAGCTGCTGTTGGTGAGGGTCATCAAGGTACACAACAGCAGAGATCACCTGCACACAATTTACTGCCCTTTT